TAACGGTTTTACAGCGTAGTGGCTTCTGTCATCAGAGATGAGATTTGTGCCGCGCCTCACGGTATTTTTAGGTGGCAGTTATAAGGCTTAAACCATTGCAGAGGAAAGGGATCGGGATGGGAAGGGGGGCCCAATTATCGTGCTCTTTGAAGCAGATGAAACTCAGTCACCAGCGATCGATCAGTACAGTCGATCGACGCGCGTGCATCAGGAACAGCTGTATCACACGGCTAGCGGTAAAACACACTCACTCGACGCCAGCATGAGAATAGACATTACGCTCTGACGATGAAAGCGAGAATGTTTTTGAAATGTCAGCCTGAATACAACTTGGTCTCAGAAATTGCCCCGTCTTATTCCTTTTCCGGGGATGATTAAAGCAATATAATATCTGGACCTCGAATGTTTGCGCATATTAATATATTGAGAAGGTAAGGCGCTCACGGGAACCAACGGTCTATCGTCCTGACGTTTCAGAATCATACAAGCTTCCATTTTCAAAGGTAATAGTCACACTAATTGTCACAGTATTTATGGGTAAAATTAGCTAGACAAGCCAATGACTGTTGTTGTTACGCGGCCGTGGGCTCGTGTGACTATTATCTTTGACAATGGGAGCTTGTATGATTCCGAAACGTCAGGACGATAAACCTTTGGTTCCCGTGATCGCCTTATCTTCTCAATTATGTCCGGGAGCACGCATTTTCGCTTCTATTAGCAAAATATTAATATATATGTCCTTGATTTGCCTGTGTACCCCTTTGAAGTTGGAATGAATTTGGAAGTAACACTTCAGGAATTGGATAGTTGTTGATCGTTCTAGGGATCCCCGTTGCCGTTGTGTTCTTTGACCACGAATTAATTGTACTGCGCTACGAAAAAGCGCAAAATCAAAGTCCACCTCGTCTGGACCTATCAACCACTTATATATCAAAATTGCTGTTGCGCTGAGTTCATTTCTTATCGCGCAGGCAGGTTGCCTGATTGAGCGTGTTAAAAGCCTGACGGTGGAACCCGATGAATGCGTACCTTCCTTCGCTGTCGTCTTCTTTCACATTCCGCACTACTTGTCTCAGATGAAACTGCAGAATTTGACTTAAGGTCTGTTAAGTCGACCACATTTAATTACTGCTCGAGGAAGCGAGTTCCGAAGTCCATAGCGAATGAGTTCCGTAAATCACTTCCGTTTTTGCATAGCCCTATGAGAACGCGAATTGGCAGGCTGCCAATTAGAAACAGTTAAAATCGTTCTCTCTCTCTCTCTCTCTGAACTACACGCTGCGTGATGTTTCCCGTGATCTCCCTGTGACGTGGCTGATTTACTGACTCTAGATACCGCAGTTTCAAAAAATTCTCATCAACTGCTGTTCTTTGATGTGCACAGAGAATCATATTTTCCTGCTCACCGAGCATTGCTACGAATCCAAAAGTTGACGCTGCAGAGTTTACCGCACCGACTGATTAATTGGTTTCTTAATTTCCTCAGAAATTAATTTCGAAACGTTTTCCCGGAGGAAATGTGAACAAGGCGAAGATCATGAGATTAGCGGAATTTATTGACGTCATATAATTTAGCGACCTCTTATTTAACTGCAAACGGTCGTTGCCTATTAATAAGATAAATGAACTGTCAAATTAAGTTTCGACCTAGAAGGTTGAAACTTGATAGGTAGAAGCTATTAGTCTCAGATGTGCGCGTATGGTGAGGGGGCAGAGGAGGGGGGATGTAGTTGTCACGGCATGGCAGTTCATGTTAGTTCATGTTCATGAAAGCCTGCAGGATGTGGTTAAGCGAGGGGGGGCGGAAGACGGGGTAGCTGTCAGTCTTAAGGGGAGCAAGGAGGCGTGAGAGGAAATGAGGATATCGATCGTTACCACGGCAATGAGAGGTTGTTCACATGATCCAGCTGTTTACAGAGTCCTGATTTTCTTCTCCGTATTGCAGCGGCCTCCGCAAATCGTAGAAGGTGCCCGGTCTTCGCCCGAAGTACGACCTTGAATACAGTCTTTTGGTCGACCATATGGCTAGTCTCCACTAGGTGTGTAGCGGTCTAAGTAGTGGGTGTACTCAGATCACTGCAATCATCAGGCCGAATCCCAGGTTGGAAGTTAAACGGCAGAAGTCACCAGAAGGAGTGGCTTATTGCGTACAGAACTCCCAATTGCTGTCTCAGGTGGCAGTGGCCACTGGCGAAGCTAGGGCTAGTGTTGACTGCCTCCAGCCAGACCTGAGAGAGCATGGGACAATGGTGGCAGTTGCTTAAGTAGAAATGCGGAGCAGGTTCAAGTGTTCTGTTATTGTTGTGTTGCAATTGCCCGAGGGGGTGTCGCCTGCAAAGGCCCCCTGCTGCGTTGGCCAGGGGTGTCGCGTAAAGTGGCTC